GGAAAACGGAATAGGTTAATTTCGATGGCGGGGTTGTTGGCATGCAATCGTGTGGGTGGTTCACCTGCTCCTCCTCGTCGGACGACTCGTCCTCGCTGAGCTCAATGACCACCTCGTTGCCCTCGTCGTCCAGCTGGGTCTTGGTTTTCTTTTTCTTGGGCTTCGGCGGCTCCGGGGGGTCTTGCCACATTATCGGATGCCAACAACGCGAGCCAAGCAGGGGGGTTGGGTGGAAGTCTACAAAAAGATACAAAGCCAAGTGAGAACGGGGCTGCACAGGAAAACAAGGGATCAGAATTTAAGTATACATTCCCAGCCTGATTTGATCTATGGCTTTTAAACAAATCAGAATTTAAGGATTATTGTATTCTTAAAGGATGTAAAATGTTTGTAAGTATTTCATTCTAGTAATTCTAGCTAGATCTAACCAAAATTTCACCTTAATTTAATAAAATTTTATATTACGTACGTACATTTATGTTGACTGTTATTAAATAAAGTTAAAAAAAGATTTAAAAAATCTTAAGTTTGAAAAACTTCACACAACACAAAGTAAGTATCGGAAAATAAACATATACATGGAATTCGGATTCAAGAACTTGTATTAACATTAAAGTAGCATTTACGACGTTATGGAAATGGACCACAACTTCATGCCCCTTTTTTTGAGCAGTCAGGGATGGGAATAAAGTGTTCTGGGGAGCCATGCAAACAGAGGGAACACCGGGCGGCCTAAGTACTCACCACTGGGCGGCGGCAAAGGCTTCGGAACCCGCATCACAATCGACTTCTCCTCTCCGGCCTCGAACTGGCCCATGGGATCGTCCTCGTCCATGCTGCGGGAATGGGGACAGACAGTAGTTTGCTCATTACATAAGTTAAACGGCCCAAAGCCTCCCAGACACACCGCGTGCCAAGTGCATCTGGGGCAACCTACTTGCGCAGCAGGAAATGTATCTTCTTGGGCGTCGAGTTGATTTTCTCGTGGGCCTGGGACAGTGTCAGCTGCGAGGCGTCCTCCTCGTTAATCTCGAGTATGATGTCGCCCAGGCGAATGCCCGCTTTATCGGCCAGGCCACTGGGGGTCACCTGCAAGCACCAAAGGATGTCGATTGAAACAGAGAGCGTGCGATGCCGAAACCCGTCAGGTCCTTTCACTTCCGCAGATCAAAGAGCCGCAAAAACCGCACGGTGCGAGTTTCGAGGCGCAATTGAATGGATATCTGCGTACTTTGAGTTTAGGTTCAGAAAATATACGCGATGCGCGAACGACAGATACAGATGACATGTATACGAGATGAGCCGACTGAACGGCTGCTCCCAAAAGAAAAGACCCGAAATAATGAAAAACCATAAAAACTGAAAGCAAATCAGACACAATGCGGCGTTTTTGAATATGCCAGACTCGACTAGGTCTGTTCCCTCGAAAGGAAATCTACTACTACTAAGCATTTCACTTTTGATCTTTGCAATCAAAAATCATGTCACATAAATTCAATATGCTATGCATTAATTTTTCCCGAATGAAGAGCTTTCTTGCGTTTTATTATTGGCAACTAGCATGGTAAGATTTCATATTTTTCCCTTTAGTTGCAACCCGAGCACTGAGTTCATCAAACTCTTCATTCGTTGCCCTCAAAATGATTTAGATTCAAAAATAAACAACAACTGATATTTTCTTTTAGACTAAACGCGAAACGTCAAAAGTAAAATGTTGCACAAAAGCCAAAAGCAATACTAATAGATCGCTTTATGGGAAATCACTTTGTATACATATACGATACAATCCGCGTCATTTTAATAGGTTCTACATATGTCTAAAAAAACAATTTGCACAAATTACTTGATATTATATCTGGTTTCCAATAACTGCCTTTTCATTTTTTTTAATTTTCAATAGAGAGTATTATACATTATGTCTTTCATGACCCCCACCGTATGCATTTTGTACAAGTATACCAAGAGTAGTGGAACTCGGCTAACCCAAATATTGTACATTCACTCGAGACTCAAGTGAGCCGAAAAGAGCCACTGGGGAGAACAGACACGACAACTAAAAGGCTAGAAAAGACTTAAAGACTGAAGACTTGGAACTGAAGACGGGGTGCGGCAGGTGTAGATGCCACAAACAATAAAATGTTCGCTTCTATTTGGCGGCGGCCAATTTGCATTCGACGCGACTTCGTCATAGCATAATTGGAATTCAAATTTGACGTGGGTTGGGTTGTTGTCGATCTGGCCCGCGACCAAAAATTGGAAACAATGACGAAACCTCAAATGCAGCGCGGGAGGTGCTACAGTACTACTTCTGTAACTGAAACGTAAGCCAGCAATTTTACCATTTTTAAGTTTTAAGTTCAATAACAAAGATATTTTACTATGGCTCCTCACACAGAAGAGTAAAATGGAAATCAATGTTAAATATCGTTTTAAGTAGCTCTACCCGTAGCTTAAGTTTCACTTGTTTGGTTAAGTTTCCACTGGCTCAAGCATAACCAACATTTTCTGCATCGTATTCCTATAATTATCAAGGCTTTATCTTTTTTATTTAACATTTAAAATTATACTATTTTAACTAACGTTTCAAATAACCAGGTACATAAATACTGTCATAAAATGATTTTAGTATTTATATTTTCTAAAATATTGATGAATGAAGTGGAAAACAGCGTTTTCATAAGATGTTTGACTGTATCAATAAAATCGGTTCACTGGAGCCAGATGGTTCCGTTCCCAAGCCCCCACCACCCTTTATCGAATCCCTGTCCCAGCCCGATGGCAATCACAACCATAACCAGTAACCATAACCCCAACTCACCTGGAAGACTGTCAGCGGCATGTGGAACTCCGCTCCGCCGGTGATGAGGAATCCCCACCTGCTGTCGTCCTTGGTGGCGTACGCCTCCGAGTCGACATCGAAGGCAGGATAGCCATCCGTGTCGCCGATGCCGCAGGACACCTTGATAATGGGCGCCTTCGCCTTTGTCTCCGGCGTCGAGAAGAGAAGTCCCAGTGGCTCCGGCATTGTTATTTGTTTACCCGTTCTCTTCCGAAGAGACCCCGGATCTCTTCCTACCCGCTGGTTTTATTTATAAACTCGCACTCTTGCCGGCGGCACTCTTGCCTTTCTATTTTCCACTTTCTATTGCTCTTTTCCTGCGAAACTTTTAGTTGCTCTTTTCGTAATAGTAGTTCTTTCCCAATGGCTTGTTTGCGTTCGCCTGTCAAAATTCCGCCCGTGCCAAAATATTATTCGAATTTTGCCGGCTTTTTGACACAACCTCAATTTTGCTTACTTGCAACTTACAGTTCGACAGAAAGACCTACTTGAATACTTGAACTTTGGCCAATTGTGCGACTTATATAATCAGCAGTCACGCATTGCACAATCCGAATGTCATTAAAATTTGGTCTGCAAAGCGCTGAAAACTACGGAAACTCCGAAAATTTCGAATAACCAAGACCTCAACTATGAATGATAATTATGGAAAGTGTATTTAACGCTTTTTGTCTCTGCCTGTTTTTCTTGTTTGTGCTTCTTTTTCACTACCACACGACTGCACTCGACTTGGGCAACTAAAATAATTTTCGAGAAGTTTTCCTTTGTGGCTGCATCTTTTCCATTTGCCTCGTTCTCTCTCGCAATTTTTTCTCCTCCTCTTGGTTAGTTTTTCCTTTTTTTAGAACTGTTGCATTTTTTGTTACTTCTCGCCAAGTTGAATAGTTTTTCCTAATGATTTAAAACCTCTTTAAACACCAAAGAGCCCACTATATTTATAAACAATTATTAAACCTCGCACAGCTATAATTTTAAGCCAAGTAGACGTAAAGTTCGTAATGAGAATTGTTAAAGAAAATAACAGATGTTGTACCTCTTAATTTCTTTATGAAATCAAAGGCTATTTGCACGCTACTCACATCTAAACTTGTAAGAAAATCAATAAATATGGATTACTTAAAGCAGCTAGATAGGTGTTTATTTTGTCTTGGCGTATTACAACCATCAATCAAAGTATCATAATTAAAATAATAAAATGGTGAAATAGATAGAAATCGACTTCTGAAGGGAATTGTAAAGAAATTGTAAGTAATTTAAAGCCATTGTGTTCAACTTCTTTCAGGAACATGTCAACGCCCAAGTATTACGGCCGAACAGGCAACTTGAACGTGACATGCTCACAAGCAAAGTATTCCGCTTGTCAAATAAACAAGAATGGAAAATCAGAAATCCATGTGAAAGAAATTTCAGGAGAAAGGCCCACAACAAGTCACACACACCTGATAAAAAAAATTCGATTAGCACAGGACATACTGCACATGTAGGTATGAATATGCCTGTAGTTTGTTCAAGGAATAGTTTGCACAAAATTTGTTGGCCTGGTCATAAAGGAGATAACAAAACGTGTCTTATCACCCACAAGAACAGTAACAAATGGTGACAGCCACAAGACAGACAAAGGGATAAAGCCGGCAGCCAAATTTGCGAGCAAAGTTTTCAATATCCCAAACGTCGGAACGAACGCAAAATGCAGATGACACGAGTCACAAAGAAGCCGTTTATAAAAAGGCAATACCTGCATTGCTTGTTGGCAGACAATTTTTCTTCCTTCAATATCATGAGATTTAGGGTGTCGAAGTAAACTGTTTCAATGTTCTTCCTTAAATGTGAAACATTCAAGCAATGTTATATTTTTGGCATAAGTATACAATTAAGGAAATATATATAGATATAGGTTTGTTTAATAAATGTCTTTCCTAAAATTAAATATTACTTTATTTCAAGAACACCCTGTCAAAAATATAAACATTTTAAAATGTACTTTTTAATAGGTCTCAGTAAACCAAAGAGATTAATGCTCAAACAAACATCGAACTGACATATTTGGCCTGAGCTTCGCCGACATTGACGACGCTGTCTTGATAAGGATTCTAAAGCTGATAAGGCCGCAGATGACTAATGGGTCAGGGTAACAGTGACTAAGGGAGAGAATTTTCACAAATTTGGTATGTTTGGGATTTTATTTGAGTTTATTTATATTCATAATGTTGCTTTTTATAGTTTTTTTTTATCAAAAATCGAACGCATTATTGCTTTAAGGAGTCACAAATTGCATACATATCGCTTATTTCAATTCTTCTATCTAAGGAACTGCCCTTCTCCAAATGGCTGGTATCAGCTTTTGGGCAAATGGTGGCAAGGAGGTACAGGTTCCTATATCTTTCATCTGACCTACGCCTTCTGGCAGCGGAGTCTGTGGCTTGGGACCCATATATTTTGGCTGCATTCTCCGTCCTCTGCTCCTCCTCCGAAGATGAAGATTCCGCGGAGCTGTCAACACTTTCCTTTACCTCTTCCTTGGCACCGGTTTTAAGCTCCTCCGAAGGACTGCTATCACCCTCGGCGGCTCTCCTGCGTATAACTTTATCGGTACTGCCCATCTGCTCGCTGGAGTCCTCGACTTCGACCTGCTCCAGTGGCGAGGGCTCACTGTAATCCACCTCCTCGGTTTCCTCCCTACTCGTGGGAAGAGCCACTGCCGCACTCAGCACAAAGGCTGAAATTAAGAGCAGCAGACCAGATCGACGCATTGCTGAAATCCCTGGTATGTTCTGGTAAACTCCTTTTTACTGGCTTCCGCTTGATGCTGCTTTCACTTAGATTGACTTTTTCAGACTGATTCTGACCAGTTGCACACGCTACCCGAGAAACCTCAACAATATACTATCGCATCCCCGGCGATTATGTGATTATTGACTCAAATTTAATTGAGTCGGGTAGATAACGGGCATATCAGCTGCTCGTAGTCCCTTTAAATTGACACGTAATTCTGGTCTCGCTATAATTTTTTAATAATAATATCAATAAACATATGTACATCCATCCGACATTAAGGATGGCAATCCTTATGACAAATGAGAAAAATTCAAATTCAGTCGTTTTTTAAAAAGTATTAAATACACAGAGCAAATCTGAAAGTACTCATTGAAACAAGTCAGATATCCAAATGCGAGCTTATGTAAAGGAACGCCAAATGGGGTCTGACTTGTTTCCCTGAGTGCGTTAAGAATGTGAAATCAAAACTGCGTTTACACTCCAAAACCCTAAAATTTAGCACAGTGATATCTTATAGGTATTGATGCACAGTAAGTGTTACTGAGTTCCAGGAAGTTAAATTGTAACCAACTCAAAGACTTAGAAATTTATTTTTAATACTTTTCTTTTATTTGTTTTTAATTTATGATCATCTCATGATGATTATGATTCACCAATTTAAAGACTTAATATTTAATTTAATTATTTCCCTTTCTCTATGGCTTATGATTTACATGCCATCTCGCACAGTCTCTTCAAATCTTCCTTATCGCCGTGACGTTTTTGCAATACCGAGCATAGAGGGCAAATTCCTTCTGTGGTCATCGCATCTTTATAATTGTTTCTGGAGTCCTCACGTCGTCGTGGCAGAGCACCTGCCGTACTCAGCACGATTACTGAGATTAAGAGCAATAACATTGTTGGTTTCATTTGATGAAATCGAATTTCTTTGCAGAAATATGTATAAGACCTTGTCCTACCGGCGGTTTTTTTGGAACTGAATAAACTCTCAATATTTAATAGTCGTGCAGCAGCTTTGTCTGAAATTTAAATGTAAAAGGCAACATACATACAAATATAATTTTTTGCAGATAACGAATCAAACCATATACATTTTTATACTGTTACTCATTCACAAGTTGGGAGTCGTAAACGTTGAGTCTCAGTACCCTGAAATTTTGAAATATATAATTGATAAGGAAAGAATGAAAGAACAAGTGTAAGTTTTTTTTAGCTTTCGTCATGTTTATTTAAAATCATTAGGCTTAGAGAAATTATTCCGCATAGGTGGCCTCGTTGGCCTCCTTGGAGCTGACCTCCATGACCTCGCACCCCTGGGCGTAGTCCTCGATGCTAGTGTTATCCTTGCTGTTTAAAATCTTTAGAATATCCGCTGTAGCCCGTGCCATCTCCTCCTCCAGCTCCTTCCCGGCCTGGTAATCCAATTCCGACTCCTCGCTGGTTACTTTATGCTTTTGCTGATCCTTGTCGGCAGCTTCGCGCCTCCTTCTAGGTTCCCGTCCGTCACAGAACACTTCTTTTACCCACAAATAGTGTATATAGAGATCAGGTTTTTTAACGCTGTTTTCCTCCAGTCTGTGACAAAAGTTTTCGTAGTTGCGCTCCACGAAGTCTTTGGTTACAGGATCACTTGGGTTACTTTTGTCACTCAGGTCAATTGTTAAAATTTCCTGCAAGTCCTTGGATATGAGGTCACTTAGAAGATCCATTTCCATATTCGGACGTCTTGTAACAATTTCCCGTCGTTTCCTGGCGGGGGGCTCAGTGGTAGTTTCCTCTGCATGGACGGCGGTTCCAGTTGTTAACTTCTCCTCGGATGAGGAACTTCCCGAGCTGTTCGCCTTGTCCTTGGCACCTTTCTTGTTTTCTTCGGAGGAGCTCGAATCCTTGGCAGATCGCTTGACGGCGTGACTTCCGCTGCTGTAGTCCAGGTCCTGCAGTTCACCGCTGTTTTCGCTTTCCACCAGCATCTTTTCCAGCCAATCCTCCTCGGATCTGGACAGACCTGTGGGCAGAGCCACTGCAGCGCAGAGCAGGATGGCGAAAATACCCAGCAGCAACACTGATCGCTGCATTGGCTATTCCTTTTTGAATCCTTGTAAAGTTAAACCTTTCTGTGATCCTCTGGCACACTTTGCGCCTAGACTGACTTTTTCAAACTGAATATGACCGATGGCGAAGATTTTAAAAGAAACCTCAAAATGATCGTTTCCACAAATACGGCGATTTTGTGATTACGGGCCCAGATGTAATTAAAGCCTCCATCAAACGCAATTTGTGTGTATAAATCGCATATAGATTGCACATAACACTCTCTCAGCATCCGCCGCACTGCGCAATTTCCGAGCTTGTGCCAATTGCGAGTCCAGCATTCCAGACTCGAGTTGCATAATTCATGACAACAATTTGAGAGGCTGTGGGATGCGATGCACTATCAGGCTGCCAAAGCAAAGCGGGCGAAATCAGGCTGATAAGCCCACGGATCACCAGAGATCAACCCCGACGCGCAATTTGTAATTATTGACGCTCCCTGAAAACAGAGGAACAAATACGAAATTACGCTCGCACAGTAAAAAATAATTAGCAAATTATCATTCATTTGTACTAATGGTTGGTAAACTAGTCTGTCACTTTTAACGCTATAGATTAAAACTTCCGAAAACTTTCTTCTACTGCAGGTAGTATATTTATTGGAAAACTTTATCCGAGCCCTAGGATGCTACGGGTAAGATCGGGAACATAATAGATAAAATGCTTGACTCGTTGTTTTTGCGCACTTTTTCTTTTACTGTGGGAAGTAGATTTCGGCATTTCAAATTCAATTCAAAAATATATAAACAAAAATGTTTGCTCCGTTGTTTTTGCTCCTATTCTCTTCTAATCTTAGTTATTTCATTTTTTGAAATATCAATTTTTTGTATATTAAAATCCAGACGACTATTTGGTATAGCTTTCTTAGGACTATATTTATATTCGAATCTGCCGATGATATACCATTATTACAGTATCTGTATTACAAGTATGATTAAAATAGCATAATACAGTTTTAGTTGCAAGGGTATATCAACTTCGGCCTTTCGAACCCTTCTGGTTTTTACATTTATCGATCAGAAATAATGATTAATTAAAATCATGATAATTGACCAAAGAACTTTGAACTTCGACCCCAAGTTTTTAATTTAAAGAAACAAGTCAATAATAAATTTTTACAGTTCCCTGTAAAAACAAAGTTCAAAAGGTTGCAAATTAGTTTGCTATGACTTACATCTTCTCTCAGATCTGTTTTTAGAAGATGGCTTGTATAAATGCTTTATCAGCAAATTATTATTTCGCAAACAATGTTTCCAATATGAAAGCACTGACTCACTTTGTTATTTAGAAACATTTCGCTGCTGTTGAATAGCTATAATTCTTTTTTTTTTAATCAAAGAATAAATACTTTTTAAAGTCAAAACAACTGATTAAATTTGTTCAGATAAGATACATAGCAAGAAATTCGAATAATAAGTAAAATATTTTATTTTAACATACATTCCCCTTTAAATTGTAATTAATTAAAATTAATTTATCCTATTATCAATTGCCTCTTTCTTTTGTAGTTTGAGTATACTTTATTTGAAAGTTAACTTTCCTAAATTCACAGACTTAAATTGTAAAGGGCTTTCTGTTTCTCTCGCTGTGTACAAAAACGCTCGTAAATTACAATTTCGCGCAACGTGCTATCGTAATTGAAGCGTTGTGGAAAGGGAAAGTCAAGTTCAAGAGTTCTCTTAAGTATCCGCCAGATACTGTAGACGCCTAAGCCGAAAATGCCACTTAATGCAGACAAACAGAGGAGCGGAAAAGAAAAGGATTCCCGGAAAGTTTCGGACGGAATGATAAATAGCAAAAGGATTCCCTCGGTTTTGGTAAGGACGTGAACCGACTGCGAAATAGGAAGCCATATGTGCCCGCTGACGAATGACCAGGGGCAATTATTGTGTCGCCGGTGTTTGCCCTGCCATTAAAAGTCCATCAGAAACTTGCCTATTATTCACCTGAAGGCGTGGCAACGGCTTAAACGGCATCGAAAACAAATTTATTTAACAGCCATCAAAGGGGATTGGCCCTCTGAGTCAGTCATAAAAAAGTTATTTGCCTGCTCGTCGGATCCGGCTTATTGAATATGATTCCCAGATGTCCTCCGAACATCAAAGGCAACCGGAGGGATGGGAGAAAGTCGCAGGCTCATGCATAATTTAAAGCAATTTGGCATTTTGCTGAATCAATTTCCACGCCAAGACAATCAAACGGAAAGTATTAAGTCCCGAAATCCATCCAAGTGCTGCAGTGCTTCCTATGCAAATTACACTCTCCAGCACTGCAGCACTTTTATGTAAATCGCCTGGCACCTGGTGCTGCCCAAAAGGGCGGCAGGATGAAGTGAATTAAAGCACCAACATTTTGTCATATTTATTAAAAATTTATCAATGTCATAAAGTTTACCGCACTGGTATAAAATAAAAAAAGGAGCCTCACGCATACAATGGGCAACGATCAATCAACTTTAAAGCCGTCGCAAGATTTACTTAGGACCTCCAATTGGACCCCAGATGGTGCTTAAGAACGAGGAGATTCGCTTTAATTTCGAGCAACGTTTAATGGGAAGTTGCAGGTTAAGTTGGGACAAGACGGTCGAAGGCTCAGAAAAAAAATCGGATTTTTCAGGCATTAACTTTTAAGTTAATTAAATTGATCAAATTGTTAAAATAGATATATCCTAACATGTAGGCTTAATACATACAGTGTGCATGTGTACTAATTATTATATCAAGCCTAAAAGTATGCCACCTTGTACTTTTACGATATTTTAAAATCTTTTTAATATTTTTACTATATAGTGAAATATAACTTTAGTTAAGCAAATATGTTAATAGATTTTAATTTATTAAGACAAACTATTAAAATGTATCTTTCCCCTAAATCTTTTGAGTTAACTGTCAGAATCACAAACAACTCCAAAAACACAATACACCCACAAGACTACACCAAAAATACACAAAAACAAAACAAAAACACTTTAAAAATTAAATAAACCATAAAAAATAATAAACAAAAAAAACACAAGTACTCACAATGGCTCAAAACCCCGAAACCATGGATGAAGTCTTGCAAGTCGTCGAGACCACAAAGGGTGCAACAGACCAGTTGGAGGTTAACAATGCTCCAGAGTCAACGGTGGTAGCTGGGGAAATCCCTAAGCCGGAGGAGGACGTGCAACCGATAGATGGGGAACCCGTTCTACAGGAGGAGCCTGACCCAACCGCAGTTTTGGAGGCTACGGAGGAGGGCTACGAAGCTGAAATCGCCAACGACTTAGGTAACGAAACATCTGGACAAGATGTGTGGCCACCGACAACAGAAGCTACAGATGATCTTTCGCCAGAAGAAAGAAAGCTGAAACTGAAAAAGGAGCGAAAAGAACGTTTAAAGCACTTGGCCAGCAACCGCTTTATGCTGCCTGAGGAACCGATCAAAACAATAAGTTTCACAGGGGAAAACATAGAAGAAGTGGGGGAAATAGTGGAAGAAGAGGAAGAGAAACAAGAAATCCTGGTTAACTTTGATGAGCCCATCGATTACGAATTGGACACGGCGTCGACTGCGACAACCGATGAGTCGGAAGAGGACCTGTTCAAGAAAATCCAGACCCACAGAATGGTGGACCTATTTCCGGCTGGCTTTTCCAATGCACCCGTTGATAAAACTATATTCTACAAGGATCCGAAGTATGACGATTCGGAGGATGCGTTGAGCATCGCTGCCATTAGCATGATATCTATGAGAACGTTGAATCCCGCCGACCCCGATTCCGTCCAGTTGAAGACCAACTTTCTAAGGGATTTCGATGTGCCCAGTCTGTCGGACATATCGGAGGAGCACGAACTGAGTGTGCAGTTATCGGGAGAGAAGTCCGCGACTAGCGTCCACCCTGATCAGGGTTTGTTCGTCGATCCCACAGCAAACCTGAGCTCCCGCTCCAGCTCGGCATCCGAATCGTTAGTGGATTTGGACCACGAGCAGCACGATGAGGAGGAGGCTCCTGACAGTCAGGACGACTCCTCCGATATGTCCGACATACCTGAATTCGCCGAACTTCCTGACACGCCTACCCCTAAACAGAAGGGCGTTACTTTGGATGATTTCAGCGCCTTAAACAAGGTGGAGTTCGAAGAACGCTTCGATGAAGAGGACGTAGGCATTTTGCATGCACGTACGGTCAAGAATGTAGTCCGTGAATTAATTCTCGATCTTATCGAGGAGACGGCCAAAAGGTCGGATTACCACAATCAGGAGAACGTGCTTCGCGCGAAATATGACAAGAAAAAGCTCTTGGAAGGTCTCCAAAAAATACTTGATACATATATGATCGAGAAATACACCAATGAAATGATGTCCAACCGGCTTACCGAATTTTACAAGCGCAACCGGAACGCCCGGGTATTCGTCTCCCTCTCGGAGGAAAATGAGAAACGGTACCAAGCCCGCTATTTCCACGCACTGGCCCTGCTCGACAGTCTAAAGGAACGGGTGAACGTGGCCAAGCAGAAGCACGGCATTCAGATGAACAGAGTGATCCTGGATCTCCACTCCGCCCAGAGCGTCGCCTCGATCACGGAGGAACGCCTGGAGCACTTGTTCCACAAGTACCTCGTTCGCCCGGACTCGGACCACCTGCGTCGCCTCGTCGATCGCGAGCTGAGGCACATGTCCGTCAAGAGGAACGAGATTAGTGACAGCAGGCTGTTCCTGATCACCAGGAAACACACTTTGGCCCACATAATGGATGTAAGTACAGAAAAGACAGGGGAAGGACAAAATCACTGGTCCATGATGAATGGGAGCTATTGGATATAGTCGTCCGATCAACTAACTAACTAACTAGCTTTTTAAGCTCTCAACCGCGATCTTCCTATCAACGCATTTTAAGATCCTCTTTAAAGTTATAAATAAATCACACAAACCTTTAACCTTTTTTAATCCTCTAGAAAATCACAGCCTTGGACACATTAAGTGACACAGTGAACATCAGGGACTATATATCCGTACAAAATGAAGTTTTTGCCCTCCAGAAGAAAATCGAAGGTAAGCCCTAGTTACCCACACTCTGAAAACGATTGGTCAAGTTCCTGATTCCCCAGAACGCAATATCGAGCTGAAGAAGGTGCGAACCCAGTTCCTCATGGACGTTCACCTCACCCGACACAACCGGGAGAAGGCTCTGGCACTGGCGGAAAAGTTTGAGGTTCGGAAGAGCTTGCTGAAAAATGCCATCGAAAAGCAGCGCTTCCTGCGCAAACGTCTCTACCTCGTGAAACTGGAGCGCATCAAGATGCGCCAGCAGACCAGGGAGCTGACCTACCAGGGCGGCATCCTGGCGATGCCGTCGCTAATGTACGACTACGACAAAACTGTGGAGCGACTGAAGGAGAAGCAGGAGAGTGTGGCCAAGCTCAGGGAGACCTTGAAGGCACTCCAACGTCGCGTCGACCATGTGGAAGGCAGAAGTCTGTAGAAAGTACTCAAATCCGACCACTCCAATAAACACAACGATTTATCCAATATCCAAAAGGGCTGATTTTTAATGGCAACAGTTTGGGTAGTATTGGGACATGGCTTTTATGTATTTACTAGTTGTTAAGGCTAAACATTTTATACCCATTGAATATTTTTTTTTCGACCTAAAAAATTGCTTTACATTTTAGGTAGTATGGTCTTTGTTCATATTTCTCTTCCACTCCAGGGCTTACAAAAATTTTATGACTTCGTTACTGTGTAATATTTAACCGTTACTCGTAGAGTAAAAGGTATACTACTATATTCTTGATCAGGATCACTGTCTATCCGCCCGTATGAACGCCGAGATCTCGGAAACTATGAGAGCTTGGGCTTCTTGCGCAGCGCAAGTTTGTTTCCGCAGGGTTCCACGCCAACCATTCCGCTAGAACCAGTCTACCACCCACATTTCATATTATTTTTGAACAATTTAAAAAAGTTTTTGTCCTTTTTATCAATACCCATCGATATGCCAAAATTTATTGAGATCGGACTAATCATTTAAAAGTATTAATCCAATTTTTGCTATTCAATCGAGAGCACACCACATGCAACAAATCAGATGTTTTCACTAATACGCTTGGGTCGCTATAGGCTAATTTATCATCATATTTTCTTCTGTTCTGGGGTATAGAATTTTATAAAGTGGTAATAAATGGGAAAATAGACAAAATTGTTCTCATTTTGTAACCGACTGACAACAACATTTCTTGTATTCTACATGTCGCCTGGAAAAAAAACCAAATTTGAAGTCTATCTACCGAACAAAATTTCAAACACCTAACTTTAACACACGCTTTTAATACAACTTTTCTGGAATTTTGGTCACTCCCAGCTTTTTTTATTAGCTGGAATTTAGTTCAAGTTGGATCTCACTATTCCTTCAAAATTCTTATTTTACTTGTCCAATCAAACTCTATTTTCTTTTGAATTTAAAAGGTTGCGTACAAGGTTACGGAATCTGAATCTGAAGTCCCAATTCTCTATCTTTGTCAGTTTCCGAGATATCCGCGTTCATATTTACGATTTTTTGAAGATTGTGGGCGGTTTAAAGGCATTACAGTGGGCGGGCAAATTTTTTTTGGGTCAATCGATAGTTATTGATGAGAAGAATACATATCAGTTAAAATTTTTATTCTAGCATCAAAACTGTAGGAGCCACAGTTTATGCAGTTTTTGGGCGTTAGAGTGGGCGTGGCACCCTGCTGAGACAGACTTGCGATGCGCAGGAAGCTCAGGAATCTCAGGAATCTGCATGTCAAATCCCAATAGCCTAGCTCTTATAGTTTCCGAGATCTCAGCGTTCATACGGTCAGACGGACAGACGGACATGGCTAGATCGACTCTACTAGTGATAGTCGGAAACGCTTCCTTCTGCCTGTTACATAATTTCCGACGAATCTAGTATACCCATTTACTCTTCGAGTAACGGGTATAAAAAGCCACCGGAATTCAGGGGTCTAACAGTAACAAAATTTACCATCAAAAACTTGGGAGCATTTCATGGATTCTACTTTGTAAGCTAGTGCTATCAGTCTAGTTATATACAAACCAGGAAAGTTTATGATTTATATATTTTTATGTTCATAATATGGTTTTAGCTGCAAGGGTAAATTAAATTCTACTGGCTATCTTGTTTGATTGGAGAACGTTGAAAAGAATAATATAATTAAGATGAGTTATTAGGCATGTACGGTTTGGCCTTTCGATCATTTTTAATCTTTGAAATGGCTGTCAAACAAAGATCTTAGGTTACAATCACAAAACAAATGTACACGAGTACACAACAACTCAATACAGTAACACTAAAAAACCAAAAAAAACGGAAAGGCAAATAAAACAATTATAAAAACTACAATTAAAACGAAACCATAAATAAATAAAATATATAAAACTACATGATGGAAACTGAAGCAAGTGAAGAACCTCAAACCGAAATGGTGCAGGAAGAGCACTCTGACAATGTCAGAGTTTTTTCTGAAGACCTTGTCGAAATTCTATCGGTAGATAGTAGACAGTCCACTTCAGTTATCCCCAAACGAGCTTCGTCCTTTTCGAGGACAAGTGAGATGGTGATGAAGAAGATTAAGAAGGAGGAAAAGAGGTTGCTGCTGAAGGACGCCATGGAGCGGCTGAAGGAGCGCAAGGAGGAGGAGGAAAAGGAAAAGGAGCTGGAACGCGAACGTCAGATCGAAGAAGAAAGCAGGAAAAGTTTGCAGGGCAGTTTCGAGGAGCAGGATGAGGACGATGTCGGCAGTGACACCGAAAGGACCTCCCTACAATCGGACTTAGTCTCGTTCGGAACGAATTTGATCGCAGCCGATGCTGAGGACGAAGACTTGGTCGAACCAATCGAATCTTCCTCTGAATCAGAGTCGGAGGACTCAAAGACCCAGCGATCCAAAAGCATCAATCCCTTGCAGACGGCCGTACAATCGCTGATGCTGGTGCCCAGTATCTCTGATATCTCGCTGTCGAGCGAACCGGTTGTCCAGCCGAAAACTGGCCGGCCTTCAAAAATAGAGAAGCCTCAAAACTTTAGGGATCCCCTAGACGATGATAATGAAAGCATTAGTTCCGAAGCAGCGGAGGAGGCATCCAGTAAAACGCACAGCGATTCCCGGACTGTCTTGGGAGATTCGGAGTCGCTCCAAGAGTCGTCCCTGGAGATTATACACGACGTTCCAATAACAGAGTCCACCGAAAACGAATCCCAAAAATACACGGACTTCGAAACCCTTTTTCCAGCCACGGAGGCAAAAAGCGAAACGCCCGTCATCAACGTGGACAAAGAACTTAGGCTTATGGAGACGCAACAGGTTGTTCGCGAGTTCCTCAACCAATTAATAAAAAGTGTGGTCGTAGTAGATCGGCCGGGAAGCGATGAGTATATCCGGAACCGACTGGACAAGGAGAAGCTACTTGCCGCCCTGCAGAGTGCCGTGGACGACCACATCCTGATCAACGACCATCACAGAATGCTCGAGGACCGAATGATCGAGTACTATCGCCGCCTCAAGAACAAGCGGCCCTTCGACACACTGTCCCACGCGGACGAGGCGAGCTACTGCATTCGTCATGACAACGCCCTGTCTTATTTGTCTTACGCCCAAGAGCGTCTCTCCAGCGTGAAGGAAAAATACGGAATCCTAATGGCCACTGCCTTCTTGGACCTCTCGCACGCCATGCACATCGTCGTCAGCACGGAGGAGCACCTGGAGCAGACGATCCGACGTCTCCTGGTTCGCCCCGACGCCGAGACCGACTTCCTCAAGCGGTTTGTGGCCCGCGAGCTGCGGCTGATGGCGGAGCACCGGAACCAAGTCAGCGACACCCGACTCCTGCTCATCTCGCATAAGCACACGTTGAGCCGCATCACAGAAGTGGGTATAAGCCACTTTGTCCGCCATTTTGACCCCCACTTTGACCACCATTTGTCCGCCATTTTGTCCGCCATTTTGGCCGCCATTTCGTCCGCAATTTTGTCAGTCCGTATTCAAGTGAACTTCTTGTCCGTAAGTTTCTTTAGAATATTTATTTACTTAGTTTTCCGAATCCTATACTTAATATTCTGGCCACTTTCACTACCTTTGTTTTAACAATCCCATTTTACCTCAATTTTTTTTGGGATTTTTGGAATTAAAACCTAAAATAAACATTCTTCCCCCAGCAAATAAAAGATATAGAGACCGTGTGCGATGGCGTAAGCATGAGGGACTTTATAACTGTACAAACAAAAGTGTTTGCACTAGAAAAGAAGATTGAAGGTAGGGATTTCAGAATTTTTTCGATTCGACTAGTATACTTATTTTAAACCCACCTAGAGCGAAACCTGGACCTGAAAAAGCAGCGCAACCAATACCACACGGACCTGCACTTGACCAAGCATGCTCGCGAGAAGTCCCTTGCGCTTAAAAAAAAACTTCATAAGCTCGAAGACGAGCTGCTGGAAAAGAACGAGGCTAAACACCGATTGAAGACTCAGCTCTGTCGCGCGAAGGTGGTGCACAAAAAGATACGGGGCCAGATGAATGATCTGGCCTTCCAGGGAGGTCTCCTGTCGTTGCCCGCCTTGATGTACGACTACGATCGAACGGTGGCTTACATTCGGGAGAAGGAGGAAAGTGTCTCCAGTTTGAGGGAAACCCTGAAGTCCATTTCAAATCGACTCCAATCTGTGACGGGCAGCGAAAGAGCTACGAAGAGTATAACATTCTGAAAGGTTATCTACGCTTTTCAACCAAATACATTTTTATACAAAAATAATTCAGCATTTGTCATTCCTTAATACTATAAACAGGGTTAATTGGTTGAGAGAATATCCCAAGACTTCCTACTCATAAGCGTATGCATCAATAATAACCCTGAATCGGTACAGAAAATCTCTAAATGAACCATTATAAAAAAATATATTTCCCCCACAATTTCAGTGTCAAGATTGTTATTTATTTGCCTGTTTTTATTTGTTCCTACTATATGTTGAACGAAAACAAACCAAGGGGAAATACCGTTTGGTTGTTTTCATTTATATTTCAAGCGACCAATTGTTGGAAAATTTGAAAGTCTAAAAATAGGAATTCGGAATTTGGCACGCTTTATTCTTAGTCATCCTTCTTGAGTACTGTTTAAGTTGGAAATACACACGATTTTAGTACGCTTCAATTAGCCAGAACTAATGAGAGAACATTTCAACTACTGACTAATTAAATTTGGGAATGAAATGCATTAATTGGAAGCTGGAAACATGTCTTACCAAATATTTCGTTAGGGACGCACCTTTGAGTTAAATTTTTCTATATTATGAAATTACAGAAATGAAATATAGGTTTCGAGATTTTTCCAAGCAAGATTTTCTAGCTTAACGAGAAAACCATCAATAGGACCCTCTGACAGACTATAATAAATTAAGATATTAGAAAAGTGCCAGCTGAAGGCGTGAAATATTCTGAAGAGCTATCTGGCCTTTCTCATTTTTGGCACCATCATAGTTGCACCTGCAATACATATATGTCTGTGTGATTTAGTGTGAACAATTTCACGCCTCGGACAGGTGAGTTTCGGCATTCGTTTGGGGCGCATTCCTGTCCTTACATATAGACGATGTATAGTTGCCCATCTTGATGTTAACTCTGCCCATCGCTGGTGCTCTGACCTCGACACGCTTCAGCGGAATTTTTCACATCGCACACACTCATCGGAGTGTGTTTACGTTTGCTTTATAACGTTGATACGATGATATATATATATATATACGTATGGAATTCATTTTTAGAACGCACCATAGGCAGATAAATAAAGTCTCTACACCCACACAAAAATCAACAGCAAGAACGTAGAGAGCTCAAGGTTATAGAGGTGATCGGAAAGTCGAAAACTGGGATTTTTGAATTACTTTATTGTACTCATAAATAGATTAACTTAGGCGTATACTTAATTAAAGGCGACAAGCCTTTGCGTTGCTTCTGTGTGTTGTTTTGTGTGAGTGTTTTGGTGTTGAGTTTTGCTTTGGTGAGGAATATCTTTGTGTTTATGTTTCGTCATACAAAATATATGGGTAGTTCACTTAGCATACGTGTAGAAAAGGGTTGGCTTCCAGTCCCGGACAGCTTACTTGCCGAGCAGGATCTTGCGGCCGGCGCCGAGGTTCTGGCCAGCCTGGGTGGCTCCCTTGTTGGAACCGGCCTGCAGACCCACGATGGTCTGGCCGGCCTTCAGCTGCTCCTCGGTGAAGTCGCGCTTGCACTCGTCGGCGGGCTTGGGGCCCAGGAAGGGACCCTTGAAGTCGGCGTGCTTGTAGGTCTGCAAAGGTCCAAGGTCCAAGAGTTAGAGGGGGTCACAGGTAGATTCAATACGATCTCAAACTTACGGCACGGCCCAGGGCGAAGATGGTGTTGGTCACATTGGCAATGTCCTTCTTCTCGTACAGATCGACGGTCTGGAAGACATCGATATCGGCCACACCGTACTCCTTCAGGGCCTTCTGGAAGTTGTTGATGTTCTCCATGAACTTGAACTGGCCGCCCGAGGAGTTGACCTTGGGCACGGCGTTGGGCGACAGCACGTTGATCAGCTTGCACAGCACCTGGCCGTCCTTGAGCACATCCTCGTAGGACTGGCCGGCGGGGAACTTCTCGGAGATGATGGCCTCGATCCATTCCTGGGCCTCCTTGTCCATCTCGGGATTGCGCTTGCCGGCAATCTAGGTGGGTCAAATAAAAACAAATAAAATTTTAGGCACATTATCTCACAAAACTCGTTCTTAGCTTTCACATTTGATCACTTTTTTGTGGTAAATTTTAAGGATCTTTTTTTCACTGATCAAGTATTCACCTTGGCACGAACGGCACGCTCAAGAGACATGTTTGGTTTTTGGATTTGGGTTCGGGTTCTGTGGGATCTTCACTAAAGCTCTGACAAGCTAACACTGATGCCGGCCAACGGGGCGTATGCGGCTTTTAAAGCGAGAGAGAGCGTTCTCCGACGGATTCGTTCAAGAATTTTCCAAAAATATATCCGAATTCGGAGTCGAGTGTGTGAAAATTTCGAGGCGTGGGCGTTCTATATGTTCGAAGCGCGGACCATGCCCGCCTCCCTCAAATGAGTCGTGCGTTATAAAATTAGATCATCATCGGCCGAGAAAAAGGAAAAATCCAAAGCAGCAGCAACAACGAATGCCTAATAATTTTCACACATTACCAGTCGATGGAAATGTGTCTGTGTGCCTTGTGCTCTTCAAAATGCGCTGCTCATTTGCATGTTAGCCGCATTTTTCGGACTTGACCAGGCCAGCAGGCTGCTTTCCTGCTGTCCTGCTGTCATTTTGAACTCATTTCTGGCGCGTGCATTCGTTGCTCGTAGTTTCCACCGGCATGCATTGGGTCATAATTAAAAGTGGCAGCCATTTGGTTCCCACCGAAAGACACATCCTCCAGAGCTGACAGGGGAATAGAACATACTCAAAAATATAAACATTTAGTTTTCAAAAGCAATTTTGCTTTTAAACTTCTCGAGTAACTTCATGTTTGTTAAAAATGTTTCTTTATTTCATTACTTTTTGTTTTGAAAGTATTTTTTATAAAACGGCGTGTACACCCCCCAATTTATCTAACTCAATAATAACTTTAAAATAAGATACATTTTTTTCCAAAATTAATAAATAAAATTTTTTTCAAGATTTCATTTTTACTTCGTTTAATGTTGGTTGTCCACTGAAGTTCTGAAGGAATATAATCAAAACACCGCTTGGTTATTTAAACAATTTTTGATTTGATTAGTTAGAATCAAATATTTTCAGTTCTGTTAGGATAGTTATACCCGTTACTCGTAGAGTAAAAGGGTATACTAGATTCGTCGGAAAGTATGTAACAGGCAGAAGGAAGCGTTTCCGACCCCACAAAGTATATATATTCTTGATCAGGATCACTAGCCGAGTCGATCTAGCCATGTCCGTCTGTCCGTCTGTCCGTCTGTCCGTCTGTCCGTCTGTCTGTCCGTCCGGATGAACGCTGAGATCTCGGAAACTATGGGAGTTAGGCTATTGAGATTTGGCGTGCAGATTCCTGAGCTTCTTACGCAGCGCAAGTTTGTTTCGGCACAGTGCCACGCCCACTTTAACGCCCACAAACCGCGAAAACCTGTGACGCCCACAATTTTCATGCTAGATAAAAAATTTTAACTGAAATGTATTGGTCTTGTCGATACCTATCGATTGATCCAAAAAAAAATTTGCCACGCCCACTCTAACGCCCATAACGCTTAAATCTGTATACCGCCGGTAGGTGGCGCATTTTAATCTCGCTTTGCTGCTTGCATATCTCCATATAGCTGAGTAACGGGTATCTGATAGTCGAGGTACTGGTTAAGGCGGATCTAGGGTTGCTGGCGCCCGGGGCAAAGCGAAAAATTCCGCCCCCTCCCTGTTTGCTGTACGAATAACATTAGGAGTATTTAAAGTGTAAATAGGTTATTAATTATTAAAAGCTTATATGTTTGAAGAATTGTATTTCATATCGATTCTTTTGTCAGTTACAACGGAAAAAACATTATTATTTGTGTTTTTGCAAGACAAAAAAATATTACTTTTAGAATATAACTTTTCTGGCCTTGATTGCCGCAAATTCAGCAATAATATCATTGTAGTCGAGTGATGCTGCTACTTCATTTTCGATAGGAAAATATGAATTCTCGAAACATATATTGCTAGTCGGACTCGATTTAGCGCCTCTTAGACTTGGCGCCCGGGGCGCTTGCCCCTTTCGCCCCCCCCTAGATCCGCCACTGGAGTTAACCAATTAATTAATCTTTATAACTGAAGTAAACCAGCTATGATTAATCGTCATATTGAAAGGCCTTTAATTAAAAAATATTAAATCAAACATTGATCATAATGAATTAATAGAAAAATTATTTTCGACATAAATCCTATTAAGACTCGCCTCTGCATTTAACCTATAAAACCAGCAATGTATTGCAATTATAATCTGTTAATACATATAAAACCAGATTACCAACCCCCACAGCAAAAGAGAACCATTTACAAGCATTGTAAAACACAAGGCCAGCGATTATTTTATGACCAGACAATTAACTTGAATTATGCGCCTTGTGTTATTGAATAGCACTTTGTTAGAGGACAGCCATCACCCAAACATTCTTCCAAGTTTCGACGAGAGGGCAATAAAGTGAAGAGGACAAGTCAAGGCGATTTGGAACGGCCAAAGTTCGCGTCCCCCTAACAAAAATGAATATTTTATGAATTCAGTCGGAGAAAACCAAACAAACAAATCGGCCAAAGCGCCATCTATTTCGGGAGGCGAAAATCTTCTGCTAGAGCGGATACAATTTCGATAACACGCGAAAGGCCCCGGCATACACGTAAAAGGCTCGACGGATTTGTGCTATGGGTAGCGCGACTATTTCTAAATTCTCAGTTCCGAACAGGTGGAACCGAAATAGTTGAGATTTTCCAGGCTTTTCTGGTTTTTCTCTCGCCCCAAAACAGATGGCGTGTTCGTTTATTTTTACCGCCTGCTTGGCCCGCGGCACTTCGACGGACCGTCGTCTTTTTATTTTAATTAACAAATACTCGGCGGATTGAAGTAAACCGCAATGGCTGCCGTTTAAGTGAATTAAATTTGCCCTAGGCTGGGTTTTGACTATTGTCTTCACAAAAATGTAATTAATGCCCCGCAGATGTGCGCCATTTTTCATGGCAATTAAATTATTGTAATTGCATTCGCCGAGGGGTGGGCAAAAACTCGGAGCTGTAAGTGAAAGAATCAAATTCAATTACGGTATGGCACTCTCGAGGATTCGAAAAGCTCAGTCGCCCAGTTGGATTGCAATTCAAACAAACGGCTGATTAAATGTTTATCCGGACCCTTGGGACCTTGGCTCATGCATCCTCGTCAGCCGACGTCGTTTTGCCAAATTGCACAAAGGACATGGGACACACACATGTGCGGCCGAGAAAATTAGATTCGAGTGTGCAAACATCCTGGCGGGAAACCATTTCCAGGCGCTAAGTTAGCCGGGATTATTTCCCCATAAATCAGCATAAAAACTCGACAAAGGCCAAGTCCTGCGTCCTAAATGGCCAGCCTACAATGGTCCAAAAATGGCAGCGCATATCCGAAGTGAAGTCAAGCGAAAATTAGGTCGCTGGGCAGGCAGTGGGTATTCCCCTATAGGGGAAAGCGGAGGGGAAAGGTCCCGCCTTGGGGCAGCAACCACTTGCTGGCATTTGTGCCGCTTCCGCTGGCTTACAGTGGAGCTGGGCGGAAACGGAAATTGAGTCAAGCGTTTGAGTTCGCAGACTGCAATTTCACTTACAAACATACAGAAAAGAGCATCGACTCGATCTGAGCAGATACTGAATTCGTGCCGCATCGCCAGTGAGCTGGCCGCCCCAGAATAGACCCATTATTTATTTAAGCTCAACGTTTAATTGGAAAATCATGCCCAATGTCGTCATCCCGTTAACGAAAATAAACACTCGATTCGCCGCGGTCATGGCACGGAATAGTTATTTATAAGTTTCCCATAATTTCTCTAGACGTTTTCCCGCTCCTTGCGACAAAAGCAATTAAATAAATTTCACATTTTCACATTGTTGTCGAAGAAACATTGGTCGCACAATGTTGAGACAAGATATACGTTGATACTTAAAATTTTTACCTTCTGCCAATACTGCGGTCCTCACAACTCGACCGAACAAAACCAAAACACAAAGGTGGAAGAGCTTTGGGCATACTTTTGACTAACCTTTGCATTAATTTACATTTATTTATTGACTTGTCCCCTACACTTTTGCAGAAGGAGCATTGCGACTTTTATGTCTCTTATTCATATAAACTGGGGAGCTCAGGTAGACACATTACGGCGGGTCGATTTGGGTGCCTAAAAATCTTGAATGGATTGCTAGCAATATTGTATTACAAAATCTGAGACCTGTATTTTTCTGCATACATTTTTAATAAAGATGTTTTGTTTACTATGATATGTTTCCCCATTTTAAATATTTTTAATAGCGTTTGGGGGCCAAAAGCCATCTTAAACCATAAGTTTAAAGATTACGATGTGTCACTTTTCTCGGATGATGCAAATCGACCCGCCGTAAAAAATATTAGAAAATTAAATTTAAAACTTCAGTTAAGTTTTTTTCTATAAACTATAACATGTTTTGTTGTTATTCGTTAAACATGTTGTATTCTGTTTGTATTAATACTTTAGATTTTATAGAATTATTGTGGTCCAGAGAGTATTGCCGATTCCCCTTGAAAGAAAGTTTCCCTTTTGTTCCAAACTTGCTTCAGCAATTATTGCTGATACAAAATCTTTTGAACTTTTTGTTTGTTGGTTGTCAGATGTTTGTTTGTTCTGTTCTCTTGTGTTCTGTTGGCTTTCACCCAATACTTATCATTCGACCGAACGTTCTTCGGCAAATCTTGACACGAGGGCCCCAGACAAATGATACGGGCGGTGTGGGCGTGACCCAGCCTCCGCCCGGAAAACGTAAAAAAGGTTAATTAGAAATTCAGCAGGACCGCAACCACGAAGCCTAGCACTTAACCACAACAAAAAGGTCTGCCCGCAGATGCCCAAGAATATGGAAGGTGAAAATAACATAATAGAAATTTATATGTGCGGGGGCGGTAGTTGGGCGGCAAAGCTGGAAATGGGACTGGACTTTCGGCGAGTGAGCAGCCAGCATTTTTAATCAATAACTCGACTGTGACTTCAGTTTATGGCCAACTCGGCAGTGGCCAAGGGCGAGATGTCTGACCCAAAATAAAATCAGCAATCATTGCCCCAAGTAGTAATCGAAGAGCTAAACCCGAAATCGCTTGTCCCAATGGGCGAATGCGAAAAGTTTTTCAATATTTCAGCATCACGCACCGCCGACTTCTGGTCTCGGAATGCCCCGAATGGGGAATCGGCACTGCGGAATGGCCGGGCCTAATTGAATTTCCTGGCTAACACTTTAAAGCTGGCTGCTAGGCTACTTACTAGGCCCGTGTAATGAGGTTTCATCCCCTGCCCCGCCTCGCAAAACTTTCCATTTTGACAAATTGACTGGCAGGGCTGAGGGCGTACTTCAAAGCAGCATTCTCACTAAATCAATTTGCACAAAGTATTCTTCGACAGCATTAGGCTCAAGGAGTTCTGGACCCTCCCTCCCTCGTTCCGAAAAAAGTTTGGAACAAAAGTTGTCGTCTGTCATCCGTAACTCGATTTGCAACTGGCAATGTGTGCCGCATTAGGGTTCTATCATGGCTGGGCTCCAATTTTTAACAGCTATGCTAATTTGAAGCCATTATGCGCCTAATTATGGTGATTCCCATTGCCAGGAAGTGTGTGATCATGTAGGGCACCTAAGAGAGGTATCTACAGATGTATCTGAATCAGGTGTTTAATAATATAAAAGCACAGAGAATTATTCTGTCAATTACTAAGCCAACTTTATTTTGGGTTTTGTTGTTGGTTTTTAAGTTATTATTATTAAAAAGCATATATTTATAAAATTTGGCAGTACAGTAGATAGAACTAAATATTGGTGACAGCATTCATCATATCTATACATTTAAAGTGAAAACCGTATTGAATGAAAATAATGGAATTCACAAATTCCGTTTTTGAGTACCTAAAACCCGAAGAAAAGCAATGAGGAATTAAACAAGGACTTTTATTAATTTTCAATGGGTTTTTGCAACATTTAATATTATCCCTCCCCTTTTGTTATGTTATTCTACATCTGTTGCGCACCAAAAAAAGATCGTCCATTTATAGGCAAAAATAAATTTTTGATTCCCTGTTTTCCATTGTTTTTCTATCTGTGTTTACTGTGCCTAATTTATGCAGGTTGAAAAGTTCCTACCCTTTCACTTTTAATTATTTATTTTAGCATCATAACAACAATAATAATGATTTAAATTAAATTGCCATTCCGCGAAGTGTGTACAGTAAATTTGCTTTTAAATATCAATTCGATTTCGCTAGGCTGGGACATGTCCCAGTGGGTGGCATTGCATCATCATCATCCGGCGCTGGAATGGCCCATAAATAAAGTCGCCTGTATGGGGCAACGTGGCCTTTAATCGAATTCATAGCAACATGCAAATACAGACAAAAAATTGCTAGAAAAAATTCAGAAAATACAGTATTGGCGCATTTAATGCTCTTAAGATGAAAAAGTTTTTCCCTTTAGTCACGATTGTTCTTGAACGGATTAAAAATATGTAAATTTGAAATTGTGATCAAACTCATTGAATTAAATAAAAGTTTTTATAAATATGCATTTTTTGAAGTCTAAGTTCTCTTTGTGTTTTATATATTTGTATATACAGTTAATCCTCTAAGGATGAACAAGCTTTTTCCTTTACTCAGAAGGTTTAAATGGATTAAAAATATTTAAATTATAAAATCGATTTAAATTTAAAAAGAGTTTTAATAATGATCAATTAAAAACGAAAATTTTTCGAATTCATTTAGTTTTTTTTAATAAATCATCAACAGCAATGTACTCCTGAATAGAACTAAATTATGTAGTTTAGTTGATACTTGGTGTACTCTTATTGGGTTTAAATGAAAAAAATATATCAAATATCTTACGTGAGGTATTCATATGTTCAGATTCTGGAACCCTCTCGCCTTTACAAATGGTTATTTGCGACTCTTTGTCCCAGGTAAACCGGCAAGTTGATGCAAATCCCCTGACAAAGTTGCTAATCTCTGCGGCAGCAGAGTGTTGCGAAACTTAAGTAAAATAATTCAGCTGTATGTATCTGGGAACCAGATGCGCTTTTGGTTGGCCGTTGACAGAAAGCTAGAACGTCCCAGCGACCATGACAAAAAAATCTCTGTACAAGCACTGACAACGTGAGGGGCAGATAAATGTTGAGACAACGCCGGCGAAATTGAAAAACTTGCAGGGCGCAAAGTTTGCCGCGTGCCTCGGGAAGATGTTGCTGGGGAACCCACAAAAAGCAATGGGAATCGCTGCACTTTCCCCGACAGTTGGCAGTTGAGAAGTCGGGCCAAAGGAGCAGAAATCCGATGAAAGGACCAGGTGCACGTAGTCACCAAGTTGTAAAGATGGATGCGGATGCGGATGGGGAGCGTGATGCGTGATGCGTGCGTTAAACTTTGTTCGAGTTGGCTGACCAGGATCGAGTTACTGGCTCCTCGAGCTTCGAGCGGAGCAATTAGCGGCTGGCCCCCAAAGAGGATTACCCCGCTCAACTGGAGGGCACTCGATACGGCTATTAGGCCTGACAAGCTGTCATTAGGGCACAAACGTCCAGAGCAGTCAAATATTTGCCAACATTTTTTGGAGCAAACAAGGGTCATACGCGTATATGCTAATGAGCAGGCTTAAGGCTGCTAAATTTCATCGAAATTGACGGCATAACACATGTACTCCTCCCCCCACAGCAAACATCCATTTGCAGCAAAAGGTCTGTAGCCTGCACCCACAAATATTCAAAATTCGGGGAAATTATAAAGGGTTGGGTATACTTTTACATTTTTAGGGGTGCTTGGCCATTTTCAAAAAATATCGTATTGTCTTTAGCAGAAAAGTGGGATGAAACCAAAAAACTTCGTCATTTAGTTAATTATTTTTAAAACATTTGGAATTTTTAACTTTCCACACTATTTTAGAAATATAAGAATTTCACTGTCCATTTTTACATTAGTTGTTGCCTTGAAAATTACAAATCTGAATGTATGTTTGAAGTTTGAAATATTTTGATTCGCAATTTTAATTAACTTGCTCTCTTCTCTGTGGGTATATTAATGGATTTATTATTTTACATATATGCACATTATCTTGATTTAAAATGTTGCAAACAGTATTTGTATTTCATTTCACTTAATGTTTATATTTATAACAGAAGCTCATCTGCTTGTTGTGCATCAACTGAAATTACGGAATTTTATGGAAATATTGGATTTTAAAGATCGAGCTACGTAGTTGCTTGTTGTGGAGATCCCACTGTGAGCCCTTCGCCTGCAGTGCAAACAGCAAGTTACCCCGACCCGAAGTCAAATTAAACACGGATTTTAATAACCATCCGGAGCTACTCCCCTTCCTCGCGGGCGGTGGAGGATGGGGACGGGAACTGGAAGCCCCCGACGGTCTCCATCGTTCGACGCAGCTTCTCCAGTCCGCTGCAGTTGGCCTCGTAGGCAGCCAGCTGCTGCATCGCGGTGAACCAGCGCCGCAGACGTGGGAACTGCGACAGGGGAAACATGAGATTGACGGTGCTCAATGTGGTCACGATGGATAAGTCGGCGAGCGTCAGCTGAAACCGCAGCGACAAAGGTGAAATTCTAAACTTAATTGAACCGCCACTCCGACAGGGAATCGCAATCAGATGAGGTGGTTTTTACCTGTCGCCCGGCCATGAAATCGCTGTTTTCCAGGTAGCGCTCCATGATGATATACGCCTCGGTCAGTTTGCGTTCATGGTGAGCCACGTCCACCTGGGCGAATCCCTGGCGGACGATCGCCGACTGCGGAACATGTACATATGTAGACCAGAAAAGTAATTAATACATGTAGTGTCTAAAGTTGGTTAATAGCTCACCATGAAATCACTGTCACGGCGGAACAGAAAGGAGCACTCAAAGAGCAGGAGGTTCAGGACCTTCATACGTTCTTCATGCTCCTGGGGCCACAGGCTTCCGCCTTTGTCGTACTTTTCCGCCAGGTGAATGAGTATGGCATGGCTGTCGGTCAGCACCAGGTCGCCGTGCACCAAAGTGGGAACACTGTGAAGGGGGTTCAACTAAAAGCATGCAATTCAAAATATATTTTTTATTTAAAAACAAATCCTACGAATTCCCCAAAAATTTAAATGCTCACTCCTCATAAATTCAACTGCATAAATTAGCTTCACTCACCTCCAAGAAATCGTTCTGGAATTGCTCGCCCTTGAAAAGATCGACAAACCTTAGCTCTACGTCGATATCCAGAAGTTTGATTAGCATAAGGCAACTGCGTACAGGCGGACTGCGATCGTCGTAGTACAAAATCGGCCTGGGTTGAGACATCTCAGAGAGATCAGGTAGAAAAACCGACTTACGATCGCCTTGAAAGCCGATCAGAAACTAAATCGGATTGCGTTGCCGTCTTGAGACAGAAAAGGCTTTCCAAATATATATACAATGGAACAAAACGGATAATTTTTTTGTTATGTTTAATTCAACAAATACCTATGCTACATACAACTTCGTTCACGAGAATATATATTTTTTAAATTGATTAAAACAAGATAAGATAGACATTTTAAACCTAGCGCTTACTTTATTTGCAGTAGCCCTGGTATAGTGTTGTGTAGCGGGTAACGACCACTGTTAACCCCGCTGTTAACTCCGCTGCTACGAACAGCTGTTCAGCCACACTTTCTGGGCAAGAAGAAGCACCTGCATTTTCCCCACTCAAAACCAGAAAAACATTTAATTTTTTTGGTTTTATAACTGAAAATCGGTTAATTTGTGTCCAAGCTGCTCAATAATGTACCTCTCGCGCCAGTTGAGACTGCTGCCAAAGGCTGGCATCGCGCGCAGCTTGAGTTCCAGCGGAGCACATTACACAACAGCGGCGCCGGCGGAGGATTCCCCCATTGAGATTCCCAATCGGATCGAGCGCTCGCCCACCGATCTCCTCCAGGCCCTGGCCGCCACCGTGGGCAGGGACCACACTGCGCCGCATTACAAGTACCATGACGACCCATTCCTAATACCCATGTCCAATGCGGCGAAGCGCACTTATGCCCTGTCCAAGGAGTCGGGACGAAAGGCAGCCAAGTGGATCAAGGAGGAGCACCGCGAGCTCTTTATGGTGAGTGACCAGCAGGAGCCTTACCACAAAACTAACCATTCCCATCCCTCAGCACCAAGAGGCTCAGCCTGCCATCGAGAAGTTCGCCCCCAGCATGGTCTACACCGAGGATTCCCAGGTGGAGGAGAGCTCCCTCCGCCAACTGATTGCCCAGGGTGAGCTCAAGGATGCTGTCCTCGTCTACAACCTCCTCGAACAAAAGGGAACTGCAATCAGCCCCGAACTTAAGCAAAGTCTTCTGGAGCTGGTGTGCTTCCACAACAATCAGGAACCGCTGCCGGAAGAGTACATCGAGGAGCGCTGGTTTATGCAGAACAACCGCCGCCGTGAGCGGAGCGGCAAGACCTGGAAAGACGGCGATCTGGCAGAGAAACTATACTCCGAAATCGAACCTAAGACGCCGCAATCCTACGCCTCCCTTATCCGCGGAATGGCCAAGTACTTGCAGTGCGAGCGTGCTTATGCGTTGCTCCAGGAAGCCGGTGAAAAACAGATCCAGCTGGACACAAACACCTTTAATTCCATTATCCAAATAGTAAATTTCCTGAAGGACACGGCCGAGCAGCGTTGGCAGCTCTGCACAGAGCTCCTGCAGGAAATGTCGCAGCAGAAGCTGAGGCCCAATCTGGGCACCCTTAACGCGGTTCTTCAGTGCATTAGCACCTTCGGAAACTTTAAGCTGGCACGCACCGCTGCCCTCCAGGTTCTGCCGGAATTCAAGAAACTGGATGTCAGTCCTAGCCTGGGCACCTACTACTACCTCCTGATCATATTCTGCCGAGAAAGAGGACCAGTGTCCCACGTTATTGTAGACATTCTTAATGATATCGCAGGCAAGGAGTTCAAGGTTCAGCATCCCAAGGACACGTACTTCTTTGCCACCGCCATGGACGTGTGTCGCAATCATTTGCACGACAAAGCGCTGGCGAAGAAGGTGGACGAGCTGCTGCACACGGGCAAGAACTATGATTTGATAGGCGACTCTTTCAAGGAGTCCATCTACTATCGCAATTACTTAGCGCTGCTTTGTCAAACCGAGTCGATCGATGACTTTATGCAGACGTACGATTTGCTGGTGCCCAACATCTACATCCCCGAACCGGGTATCATGGAGGAAATCCTGAGAGCAATTGAGATCAATGGCGGTGTGGAGCACGTGCCACGCATCTGGTCCGACATGGTGGTGTTCGATCACACGCACCGGGAGAGCCTTCTACTGTGTGTTCTCCGCATCTTGGTGGACAATAAGCCAAATCCAGAATCCCCTGCGCAACAACAGCTGCCAGAGCAGGGCGCCAAGGTGGCCCTTGATATGTACGAGAAGGTAGAGGACTCAATCAGACGCCTCCGGAAGGTCTCCTTCACCGGCCAAATGCTGGGAGACATCCTCACGCTGCTCGTTCGCGGTGGAAACTACGAAAAGGCCACCGAGGTGCTATCCCACATCGACAAAAACCAGCACAGGATTCCCGGAACACCGGCCGAAAGTGCTCTGCAAGAGTTCGTGGAGGCCAGTGTCCAGGAGAAGTCACCCAGTCAGGCGCTGGTCGCCCTGCAATACGCCGTTGAAAACAACATCGATTCCAGGACATTGGCCAAACGAATCCACGAAGGATTTACCCTCAACGAAGCACACCTGTCCAAGCTGAAATCGCTGGTAGGCGAAAGTTTCCTCGATAAGTAATAAAGCCATGTGTTTATGATATACTTTTTTAATTGATGTAAAGAAATTTGTTAAATTACCATGAAACTAAAGCCCGGTTTTTGGTTCAATAAAACCAATGTTTAAACAGACCTTTTAAATACACATTATTCTCGATATATAGTAAAGCTTTATGTCAACGAAATGCTTTTGTACTGTTATATGTAAATTGTATGTTGTTAAAATGTGACTACAAGCTAATTCCCCTTGGTCATATTTTTTCATTTTAATGCAAGTGAATGGTTAGTATTGAGTTAATGAATGAACAGGAAATTTAAATACTACACAGGTAAAATAATACATATTGAGGTACAGGTATCGACTAGAATGATTTAAACTTTAAGACTTAAAGTGACGACCCTACAATTTTAATGATTAGTATCTTGATATAAAATAAATATAAGTAAACGCCACTTATACCATATTAATCCGATATTGGTGCCAAGGATGGTAAGGGCACAAGTGTGAACTAATCCTCCTTCGGAGAGAAGGCGGCTGTGGGTTCCCAGTTCACCCCATCGTGGGGCAGATCGCTGCGTAGAAAAGGCGACAGCCAGGTGAGATGCATCCGCTTGCCAAGCACCATTTCAAGGTTGCCTCGCAAGCCGCGATCGTACTTTCTGGTGCCCCGCTCCCTCGTCACCGAACCGCTCTTGACTATGGACCAGTGGAAGACCAGGAGCAGCGACGATATGGCAAATCCCAGCAGGGTGAGGTCGTAAATGACCACATAGAAGGTCTCCCAGCTAGGGTACAGCAAAAGGCTAACGACGGGCCCAAAGATGGTGAACAGTGTGGACCAGCGCCAGTAGATGTCTGGATGGAGGTGCCACAGGTAGATGCTCTCAAAGATTGCGGCCGCCAAAGATCCGATAATCATGTAGACCAGGTAGTAGAAGAAGTACCTATAGTTGTGGTGTCCGACGCAGCAGCAGGTGAACCGACAGTGGTGATCCCGCTTCAGTACGCACACATTGCACACCTCGCAGTGCCAGGAGCGAGGAGGAACCAGCGTCTGGCAATCGTGGCAAATGTGCCAACGCGCCAACTGCCCGGGATCCACCGGTGGCTTCAGGAGCTCCTCTAAAAAGATAACCTCAGTCTGGAATCACGATATGTCTGCTATTTACCCACTTCGAATGCTTGTGTCCACCAGCATGCAGGCCAGCATGTTGGAGGTGATGTTGAAGATGAGGAACAGGCTGGCCACCCAGAGTATAGTGTACCAAACGCCCCCCATGGCAAACAGCTCCGGCATCACAATGGTCACCTGGAAGACGTACGTCACGGGCACGAAGATCGCCACCAGGAGGAAACATGCGAAATCCGACATGGATCGAGGCTTAACCCGATCCCACGAGCGCAAAATCATTTTGCTCCCGTTATTTCTACGCCCCCAGCTGAGAAAGTGTTGCTAAACGCCTTTCGGCAGTGCTGCTAACGGTAACACTGTTAATACGGCCGAAATGTTAACCTGTTGAGACTGTTAAGAAAAGGAACCAGTAATTTATTTTAAAAAGGTGAAATGTAACGGAGTCTTAAAATTCAAAAGAGTTTAAATGTAGGATGATTTCATACCAAAAAAAACTCTCCATCTATATAAAATGTATGCTATAAATAACATTTTTATAAAGATTAGTAATATAACTTAAGCGAGCTTAGGGCCTACTGCTGCTAAGTCTCTAAAATCTACTTAGCTTATAGTTTTAACCGTAAGATAGCATAAGATAATAAAAAAAACAAGGAAGAACGCTATAGTCGAGTACCTCGACTATCAGATACCCGTTACTCAGCTATATGGAGATATGCAAGCAGCAAAGCGAGATTAAAATGCGCCACCTACCGGCGGTATACAGATTTAAGCGTTTTGGGCGTTAGAGTGGGCGTGTCAAATTTTTTTTTGGATCAATCGATAGGTATCGACGAGACCAATACATTTCAGTTAAAATTTGTTATCTAGCATGAAAATTGTGGGCGTCACAGGTTTTCGCGGTTTGTGGGCGTTAAAGTGGGCGTGGCAAACTTTTTTTTGGGTCAATCGATAGGTATTGATGAGAACAATACATTTCAGTTAAAATTTTTATTCTAGCATTAAAACTGTAGGAGCCACAGTTTTGGGCGGTTTGTGGGCGTTAGAGTGGGCGTGGCACTGTGCCGAAACAAACTTGCGCTGCGTAAGAAGCTCAGGAATCTGCACGCCAAATCTCAATAGCCTAGCTCCCATAGTTTCCGAGATCTCAGCGTTCATCCGGACGGACAGACAGACGGACAGACGGACATGGCTAGATCGACTCGGCTAATGATCCTGATCAAGAATATATATACTTTGTGGGGTCGGAAACGCTTCCTTCTGCCTGTTACATACTTTCCGACGAATCTAGTATACCCTTTTACTCTACGAGTAACGGGTATAAAAAGGGAGAACGCTATAGTCAAGTGCCTCGACTTTTAGATACCCGTTACTCAGCTAAAGGAAGTAAAAGGGTGATAGAGATATACATACAAGCAGCAAAGCGAGATTGTAAAGCGCCACATACACGCGATTTTAATATATGGAAATGTGTGCGGCAGACATATTTAGAGATTTAGAAAGAAAGTGGCGATCGATATGTATTGACAAGACCAATACATCTTCTTTAAACATTTTATTCTATTCTAACTCACTTGCGCTGCTTACGAAGCTTAGGAATCTTAATTAGATATCTCAACAATCTAGTTTTGATAGTACTTTAAAGTTTGTATATGTTTTTCATAGTACAAAGTTGTTTCAAGTTTACTGATCCACTTAGTTTCTTTATAATAACAATATTGATTAAACGCTTTTTTTCCATATGACTAATTATACCCGTTACTCGTAGAGTAAAAGGGTATACTAGATTCGTCGGAAAGTATGTAACAGGCAGAAGGAAGCGTTTCCGACCCCATAAAGTATATATATTCTTGATCAGGATCACTAGCCGAGTCGATCTAGCCATGTCCGTCTGTCCGTCTGTCCGTCTGTCCGTCTGTCTGTCCGTCCGGATGAACGCTGAGATCTCGGAAACTATGGGAGCTAGGCTATTGAAATTTGGCGTGCAGATTCCTGAGCTTCTTACGCAGCGCAAGTTTGTTTCAGCAGAGTGCCACGCCCACTCTAACGCCCACAAACCGCCCAAAACTGTGGCTCCTACAGTTTTGATGCTAGATAGAAAATTTTAACTAAAATGTATTGTTCTCATTAATACCTATCGATTGACCCAAAAAAAAGTTTGCCACGCCCACTTTAACGCCCACAAACCGCGAAAACCTGTGACGCCCACAATTTTCATGCTAGATAAAAAATTTCAACTGAAATGTATTGGTCTCGTCAATACCTATCGATTGATCCAAAAAAAAATTTGCCACGCCCACTCTAACGCCCATAACGCTTAAATCTGTATACCGCCGGTAGGTGGCGCATTTTAATCTAGCTTTGCTGCTTGCATAACTCTATTTAGCTGAGTAACGGGTATCTGATAGTCGAGGTACTCGACTATAGCGTTCTTCCTTGTTTTTTCTTTAAATCTTTAAAATGCTTATATGTCATGGCATGCGCGAATCCAGGGGAGGGGGGATATGGAAGATAAATCCTCCTTTCGGGTTGAAAAGTACATGTAAAATGTATCTTATGCAAAAAATTTTATTTCTTTTCAACAAATTTTTTTTTATCCTCTTTACAACCACATTTTGGATCCACCACTGTTTCAGCGTTAAATAAGACTGAATGTGTTCAAACCCGTATGTTTAAATTACCAATTTTGTTAGTGGGCTGCTAGAAATATTTGATTGCAAATTTATATTAGCAAACATTTTAGGTTTTATTTATTATTATTTTGAATTTTCTGATTCATTTAATTTTCTTAAAAGTATTTTAATTTAAATTTATTTGTTGGAACTACTGTAGCGACTTTTAATGTCAAATGCCGTAATTCATAAATATCTGATAAGACGGTACCTTTATAAGTAAGCCCATCACTGTGGACGGCAGTTCACGTAGTGACGAAGAGCTCCATGAGAGTGTGTGAAGTCGACTTCTGTATATAGCCGCAGAATTGAAAATATTCTGTGATGGTCTGATAGTAGCGAATGTTGCACCAATTAAAAGGTATCGCAAAAACTAAGAAAATTGCATACCAAGGCCTTAGAAATCTTCATTTGAAAGTGTATTTTAGAAATTAGAAAGTTTATTTATTTAGTCGGTTGTACAATCATTTTTTGTCCCAAAATTGTATATTACAACTTTTGTATGTTGAAGGTGCGATCGTCACGACCCCTTACCTCTTTAAAGGTGTTTTTGTTTTATTGTTTAGTAGGTTTAAAAATAAGCGTATTGTCAAAAAAAAGTAAAAATAATTTAAATTCCATTATTTCTTTCTTTGTCATACACAGTCTCTACTTAAAAATCCAGCATTATTAACATGCATATAGCAGTGTTTTAACTACACCTTTAACAATAACATTTTATTGGTTCAGAAAGTTCTTTAGTTGTTACTGGTTCCAGCAAGTCCAGTTCGCCGTTACAAATTTCTTTGAGACTTAGAGATGTGAAAGTTCATGGTTAGTTTTCCGATACTCGATAATAGCTAAGTAAATTTACTGGGTGAAATTGTTAAAACATTTCACGACTCATCTGGTTTTTATAAATTTAGAAAAGAAAAGTGTAAATATTAAGTTATACCTTATTTTTCTATCTAGTTTCTAGCGGCACACGTGCGTGCGTGAGAAACCAGTCACGCGCACATCTCCAGAGGGAGTGCAGCAGTTAATCAAACCGTTTGCGACCGTAAAACATTCCAAATGCTTCGCTGAAGTTGAGAATCTTATCGCACCAGTCGCGTTCCACATCGCATTCCGTACGAATCACAGCCGCTCCCGCAAATTCGGAAAATCCGTAAAATGTCGGTGGTGCAGCCGGCGATTACAGCAGTAGTCACCCTTCTGGTGGCCTTCGCAGCCGCGGGCGTTCCCCTTCCGCGCTACGAGGCGCTGCTCAAGCAGCAATCCGCTCCCGAGGATCCCTCACTGGGGCTCTACGACGACGGGGACAAGGTGGTGCGCCTGACGGTGGACAACTTCAATGCCACCGTGCTGGACCAAAATCGCGGGGCTCTCGTCGAGTTCTACAACACATACTGCGGACATTGCCGCAGATTCGCACCCACCTACAAGACGGTGGCGGAGCACCTGCTGCCCTGGTCGGAGGTCCTCATCGTGGCGGCCATCGATTGCGCCGCCGAGGAGAACAATGGCGTCTGCCGCGACTACGAGGTGATGGGCTATCCCACGCTGCGCTACTTGGGCCCCGGCTTCCAGCCTGGTGCCAAGCACTATGGGCAGAACCTAATGACGCAGGATGTGACCGAGATCCGTGAGCTGTTGGCGGGAATGGTGGCCGCGGAGAACCTGACCAGCAGCCACAACAACTCCTACTGGCCGAATTTGCACTACCTCACGGAGAACGATTCCGTCACCAGTTTGTTTGAAGGCCTCAGCAGAGACAGGCAGTACGTGGCAGTGGTCCATGAACCAGAGAACACCACTCTGGGCGTCGAGGTGGCACTGTTCATGACCCAATGGCCTGCGGTGGAGGTCCGCCGCGTCATAGATCCTGCGGTGTCCGCCAAGTTTAAGATTGATCCTGCCAACCTGCCCCTTAGCCTGGTGGATCGAAAGGGCGAGATTACGGCGTACGCCCCGGAATTTGCAAACGGTGAATCCTACGCCAAAAAGCTGCAGGAAGTGCTGGGCAAAATGAATGTTACCCCCAGACCCGTAAGGCCACACCAGAAGCTGGGCAAGCCGGCGACCAAGGCAACTGGGCAGAACGAAATAATCCAGGAAGTGCACCGAAACAAACACTTCGTATACCAGGCGGATCTCGAGCAGGCCATTCGCACAATCCTGCACAACGAGGTGCCCAAGGTGAGCGAGATCAGCGGCGAGAAACTGCTCGCCCTCCAGCGATTCCTGGCCGTGCTGCAGCGCTACAACCCGCTAAGCGCCAATGGCCATCAGCTGGTGACCAAGCTGAAGGACTATGTGGTGCAGTTCAATGATCAATTGACGGGCAGCCAGTTCGAGGAGGAGCTGAAGCGTTTGGAGAGCCAGCTGTCTCCCGTCTACTCCTCCACCCATTTTGTGGGATGCACTGGATCCAGTCCACGCCTGCGCGGCTTCAGCTGCTCCTTGTGGACGCTGTTCCACTTCATGACCGTTCAGGCGGCCAGCAACGACGAGTCCCAGGATCCGTTGGAGGTCCTGCAGGCTATGCACGGCTACATCAAGAACTTCTTTGGCTGCACAGAGTGCTCCGAGCACTTTCAGGTGAGTCAGCGGGCGGAAAGCTACGTGCCAATGACCACAATACTGCTGATTAGGAAGGGGATGGTTATGAGGGGAGGATAGTTG